GAGAACAAATCTAGAGTGTGAAGGGGACTGGATCTAAGCTAATCATCTAGTGATATCATCCTTGGAGGTATAATCCTTTCCATTTCGTGTTATGTTGAAGGATTTCTTGATTTTAGGGTTTTTACCCTCATTTTATGAGATCTAGTGAGTATGAGGTCCCCTTGGTATGAATAACATTAGATCTGGACCATGAGAGGTCCCTAGATCCATTATCTTCCAGCTTTTTGCAAGCACATAAGCATTTGGAGACTAGGTTGCCATTTCTAGTGTTATCTCTCCATTTGAGGCTTGTTTTGGGTTGCATGTACGTAAAGGTTGCACCTTTACGTGACTTTTGAGTGTTTAAGGGATAGATCTATGATTTGGCTAAGCAGATCTGACCTCAGGAAGTTGTTTGAGCAAGTCCATGAAGGAAACTCGTCGAGTCCACATGTAGACTCGACGAGTCAGACCGGGTTGCCCCGGGGTCTGACTCCAGTGGTGACCCGATGAGTTGAGGGGTGACTCAGTGAGTCGAGTGAGGCTTAGAAATGGAAGATCCTATGGGGACGAAGGGACTCACTGAGTCATCGTATGCACTCGACGATTCTGGTCAAAATGTACAGTTGACTTTTGGTTGACTTTTAGGGTTTGTCAATAAATAGGCCTTTGGGCCTTTAGAGGGGTAGAATGGTGTTTTACCCTTCTAGGGATTTGCATGAGAGAATATCCAATTTGGGAAGATACATTTATTTGGTGTAATTTCTTATTGTGACTAGGCGGAGGCTAGGCCAGTATTTATGAGTTCGAGATTTTACCGAGATTCCCGAGGTGAGTCTTCTCACTATACTTTACCTAGAGTGATAATCAGAGCTATGTGTCAGAGTATCTTGTATGTTATTTATGTGTTGTGATTTCTAAGTGATATGCATGATTCAGAGTTTACAGAGTTAGGACCAGTGGGTCCACAGAGTTATGGGACCAAGGGGTTCCCACAGAGATATTCGACCAAAAGGTCATCAGAGTTACAGGCTTGAGTGGCTGATATGTGTTATGTGGTATTTTGGGGAACTCACTAAGCATTTGTGCTTACAGAGTTTTGTGTATGTGTTTTAGGTACCAATGATGATCGCGGGAAGGCACCGACATGATTTGTACACACTCATGGAGTTTTATTATTATGATTATGGGACATGTTTTACTATGATGATAGTGGATACTTTATGTTTAATATTATTTTATGAATGAAAGTATGTTTTAAATTGTGAAAAATTATTTGAAAATTTTGGGTGTTACATGAATCTTGTCTTTTAAGTAGGATAAAAAATCACCTTTGACTAGATATTATGAAAGAGGTGAAGGGTAGTTGGATCTCATACATATAGATGTGTGTGGTCCCTTCTAATCTACGACAAGAGATGTTAATCGATTTTATGTAACATTTAAAGATGATTATATAATATATGTTTATATCTACTTAATAAAACACAAATCAGAAACCTTTGAACATTTAAAAGATTTTAAACATGAAGTCGAGAATTAATTAGGTGGGAAGATAAAGATGCTCTGATTTAATAGAGGCAGTGATTATCTTAGTATTGAGTTCCTTGACTATCTCAAGGACTGTGGAATAGTTTCACAATTGACTCCTCGTAGGACACCACAACTTACTGGTGTGGCTGAAAGGCTTAATCGAACCTTGTTCGACATGGTTTGTTCCATGATAATTCGAGCTTCTCTTCCCATTTCTTTTTGGGGTGTTCTTTAGGGACAGTCGACTATATCCTCAACCTTCTCCCTACCAAGAAGTTTTCTAAAACACCTTACAAGATATAGGCAATGAAAGTTTCATCATTGGCACATATCAAGGTATGAAGTTGTGAAGATTTTGTTAGATGAGAGACTCATGACAAGATAGAACCTAGAAGTGAGGCGTATTTTCAATAGTTACCCACAAAATTCTTTTGGATATTTGTTCTACTGGCCTAGTGAGAACATGGTCTTTGTAGAATGAAGAGGAGTCTTTCACGAGAGAGAGAGAGAGAGAGATCATATGCAAAGAGGACATTGGGAGTTGGGAGTGTAGTTAACTTTGAAGAGATTCAAGATTCAACTAATGAAGGAACCTTAGAAGATACTAGCGCTCAACCAGAGGATGAAACTCCTGTCGAACCCATTAACAATTTCTTACCTCTTCAAGATTCTAGTAGAGTTAGCATACCACTTGAGTTCTATGGTTTCAATATAACTACAGATGGTGACATGTATGTTGGTGATCGTAAACTGGTAAATTTGGATGAGCCAGCTAAAAACAAGGAAGCGATGGCAAGCCCTAAGGATACAAAGTTGAAAGAGGCAATGGATAAAGAGATCCAGTCCATATATGATAACTAAGTTTGGAATTTGGTTGATCATGTACCAGGTCGAAAGACAGTTGGTTGCAAATGGATCTTTAAGAAGAAGATCGACACGGATGGAAAGATACACACTTTCAAAGCATGACTGGTTGTGATGGGCTTTACTCAAATCCTAAGAATTCACTATGATGAGACCTTATCACTAGTGGCCAAGATAAAGTCTATTAGGATAATGCTCACCATAGCTACCTTTCATGATTATGAAATATGGCAAATGGATGTCAAAACCGGTTTCCTAAACGAGAAGTTGGATGAGAAATCCATTTATGCTCACCATAGCCAGAGGGTTTTGTAGATGCAAAGTATCCCAATAGAGTGTGTAAGCTTGAGAAATCCATTTATGATTTTAACAAGTGTCTCGCAGCTACAATCTTTACTTCCATGAGAAAGTCAAATAATTTGGTTCTCTAGGAATGAGGATGAGTCATGCGTGTATGTCAAAGCTAGTGGGAGTATAGTAACTTTCCTTGTATTTTATGTTGATGACATACTCCTTATGGGAAATGACATTCCGACCTTGCAAGAAGTGAAATCTTGGCGCAAGAAGTGTTTCGCTGTGAAGGATCTTGAAGGTTTGTATCGATCGGATACACTTGAAGTATAATTAACACAGAAGAAACTAACTAAACAAAATAAAGAATAGAAAAGGTAAATAAAACGAATTAATCACAAAGATGTCTTTCACCGGGGTTGTTCTCACCAAGAGAAGGATTCTCACAACGATTATCACCAAGAAAATTACAAAGACATTAACATTAAGGTTTCAACCTAATGTTGAACATATACTAAACTATTCTAGTATATCCCTTTAATCCATGGATTTTATCTAATATATAATAATAAGTGATCGTTATCATCAAGATACCAGATCTTCTATGTATTATGTACATATCAGTATAACTGCCTAATATATAAAGATTACATATGATTACTATCTAGACGCTGACGTTGATAAGGTCTTGAGGCGTTGGAGTTGACGTTGATGCTGGCGTCGGCACTGACATTCAGCGTGTGGAATGTTTGACTCATCAGATCATAAGGTGTGACCTTACAATCTCCCCCTATCTTATGATGTCAAAACTAATCTTCTTCAGAGGAATCATCAAAAGAACCATTGTAGAATTTTTTAACTTCTCTCAAGATTTTAGGGTTTACCCATCTGGATTCATCAATTTGAAGATCTTTAAATCTTTTGCTAAGCTCAAGAGAAATTAGCACACACTATCCTCTTTCAAGTTCTACATGACGAATTCCCTCCATGCAAAGATGAAATAAATGCTCAGTGGGTGTAGCGGGAAGATAATAAGTACGTTGAAAACACATGTGGTTTTGACTATCAAGATATAAAAGACCATGTTCTGGTTCTCGAATGAACATGTGCTGAAATGGTTCAACACCGATTTGTAGTTTTCTATTCCTGTAGCGAGTGCCATATGGAAAAAGAAAGTTGGTATACTTGAAAATTTTGGGGGTGCATGTTTTTCTTGAAGTAGATGGTCTAGATGGACCAGTTGATGGCACAAGATTTAGCTTTTTGAACATTAGAGCTTTGAACATCAGCACTTTCATCAGCGGAAGCAAGATTCTATGCAATTTTAACGGACCAACGTTCTTCTTTTCTAGCTCGAATAGTGTCATTATGCTCCATCATAATTTCTCTAACTTCCTCAATGATTATATCCCATTATTTAGCTAAATCATTCAGATCAACAATGAGTTTTCTTTTCTTTAAAGGAGGAGGGGCTGAAGAATCACCAGTGGCAAAAGAGCTTCCAGCTTCAGTGTTGTTGACTTTCCAACTTCAGCGTCATTGGCTCCCATTAAGAAGGAAGCCTTCCTCTTTCTAGGATTAAGTTGTTCGTCCTCAGATTCTATGTTGTTGTGGGTTCCTTGAGGAGTCTCCCCCATCAAAATATGAATCTAGTTAAACAATACTCAAAGGAACAACAACTTGTTCCATAAACTCTAATTCGAGAAACCCTTCATAGTCATCAGTCTCAAATTAATCACCAATGTGTGAGATAGGCTGGTGGATGTTTATTGCATCAGCATCTAGTACATTGCTCTCTTTTTCAGCTAGAGATGAAGTTGTTATAGTCACTATTTGCTGATCACTGCTCCCCTTGACTATTCTCCCCCTTTTTAGCATCATCAGTTTATGGAGGGGGAGCCAGGAGGTGGTGAAGTAGTATGAAGAGGGGGATGAGATGGTGGAGGAGGAGGTGGAAATGGATTTGATGATGAAGGTGGATGTGGTGATGGAGGATTATCACCTAGAGAATTTGTTAGAGAGTCATCAGTAACCATATTATCAAAATCATCATCACCCAAGGTTATAATGTGTTTCATATTAGCCACATCCTTTTCTACTCTAGTTAATCTTTCTCCCATAAATTGATTTAACTACACCATTAGAGAAAGTTAAGAGAGCACCATAGTTTGAAAGTGTGATCTTGATTCCCCATCATAAAAAGAAGCAGTCTAAAGAGGCGTTGGCATATGAGGAATAGTTGCAGCTTGAGGAGAAGGAGACGCTAATCTTGGAGAAATCACATCTTGGATCAGTGGATTAGCAGTTTCCACTTGAGGTGGGGTTGATCCACACTATACAATATCATATGCAGAGGGAGTGGATGAATAAGTAGATGAGAATCGAATGTGCTTGTTAAATTTTTGTGGAGAATTCATTCCATGAACATAGGCTTCTCCCTTATCAGTGTCAAGTTCATCTTCAACATCTTCTTCATCATCAACTTCTTCTTCATCATAATCTCCTTCTTCATTATCTTCATCATCATCCTCTTCTTCAGAGTCATAGGATTCAACAGTGTAGGGATTTTCAATCCAGTTTTCCATTCTCTGGGTAATATGCATATCACCATCAGAAAGAGCAGCGCTGATGATCTTTGAGGAGAGGGTTGGGATTGGAATAATGTCTCCATGATTAACATTATAACCTTCTTTATCACGAGCCAAAGTCAATCCAAGCCAGCAGGGATAAGGAACATATGTTGGATTCTTGTTTCTTGTGATACAATCAATCAACTGGTCAAGGAAGAGTTAAGCAAAATCCAATCTTTTTGTTGCACACCATGGAATACAAAATTATTTGCTCAAAAACATTTAATTAATCTAAGCTCCTAGTCTTGTGTCCAAGGCATTTACCAGTTACCCCTGATAGGTACTTCCACCCTACACCAGAACACCGACGAAGAGTATACTTGGATGGATCACAAGAGTTGCCCTGAAGAGCAAAGTTATACCCTAATGTTTCATGAATGGATTTCCATTTTTCTTCTGAAGGAATTTCAGAATAGTTTTTTGATCGAGGAAGGAGAAGAGCAATTCGAAAAGATTCCACATCAATAGTAGCCCTAATTCACCATCTCCAATGGTTCCAGTAATGGTTTGAGCACGAGAATCAAAAGAACATGAATAATAGAACTCACATACTTTATTTGGGTAGAATATGTGTGGGAAATCGTAGAAGACATATCGAAGAGAGTAGCTTTTGACATAGTTGATAAAGTCTTTAATTCCTGAGTTCACAAAATATTTTGGGATAACATCATAGAATGTCCTATTGTTTGCTTGAATGACAATGGGAGAATCATGGGTATGAGGGCCTTTAACAACATTGGCATTAGGAGAAAACTCGAACAGAGCCTTTGACATGATGAGGTCGTAAGGAAGATGATGATTTAGAGATCATTCTTCAAGAGAGAAAAGCAATTGCTTGAATGAATTGTGAAAGTGACCTAGGAGAGAATGTTCCCAATTTATCTGTAAAATTATCTTCCCTTTTACACAACCGATAATTAAAGAGATCGGCGTAATAAAAATCTCATATACCAAGATATTGATAAATCTTTTAGTTGTCATCCAAAAGTTACCATTAGGATAAGGAAATTATATTAAGTTTGTGATGTCTCCTCATAGTATAGATTTGAACTATTATTCAATCATATAGTATTGCGAGATTTCATCAGCATGTGGTTTCATACGCTGATGCATTAATCACTTTTATTAGTAGAAAAAAAGGGAAAGAGTAGAATGATGAGTGTGATAAGCTTTGATATTTTAGCTTAACCATCGACATAGATTTTAGCGTATGGTACATTATGTTGAATCATAAAGCTTTAAAGAAGAAATTAAGTAGAGAATAAAGTGTTTTAGTCATGTTGAGGTTGAATCAATGTGGATCATAAACAATGCCATCTCATCAACAGGAAATGGCTTAACTTTCATATCATAGAATTGAGTTGTAGTCTACAACTTTGAAGTTCACCGTCAATTCGTTCAATGGTACCATGTCATACATCAGACTAAGAGGTCAAGGAAATGAATAACCATTTATCATTTAAGGATCGGACAAGTATATGTTATGTTGATGACTATGTAATCAAGGTAAGCCACTGGCTTATGCTCGATGTTTCAGCAGAACATGAAACTTGATGCATATAACAAGCATGTTTCCAGGGATGGAATCAGGTAAGAGATGATTAACCAAAAAAAATATTAATAAACACCCAATCCTTCTTATAATCTTCTGATTCGGACCAGGCTATCTCACTTTGAAAGTTTAGACAATGCTAGACAATCAGCATGAGGGGTGACTCAGTATCATCTCAACATATGGTCACGTTGATGAGATATTTAGAGTGATTTGTGCACATACAGTAACATGCTTCTAGGGATAATGATTTGCCAATAGTTACATACTTGGCTTATGAAATGCCACCATCAAATCATTTGAAATGGTACAAGAAAAATAATAAATAGTATAAGAATACAAACAAAAAGTTATTCAAACAAGGAACTATTCTAAAAGCAATATTTGTGCAACTTTTTCAGAAATAAGATAAAGACCTGATTCATCAAATCTTTTGAAATGAAGGGACACAAATGAACTTCCTTTTTCTGAGACATCTATCCCTCGACACTGACTATAAAAGAATGAGCAAACAAGATCAAATATATCAAACTAAAACACAATTCATAAAACCAAAGAGAGAAAATGGCTTTAAACGTTGAAGTATTGCAGATTGATTCCAAGCTTCATGTTTACAAAGAAAAAAAGAAGAACATGAACCAGTCTTTGTAACCAACGAGTTAAACGGATCCAATCTTTGTAACCTTCGAGTTATATCAGTCACCAAGACAAGACTCGAAGGTTTCATACATTGTGAACCGTGATAGAAGCGATGAGGAGAACTGTATTGCTGAAGAGGTATTTCGATTTCAGATGGGAATCGGTGTAGCAATGACGACGTGTATGGAAATTAGACTTTCTACGTCACCTAGCTTCACTTCATCTTATTGAAATAGAGATAGGTTGTCTATGAATGAAGAGATATGTGCCCAAAAGAACACATTTTGGCACAAATCTACCCAATCTGGCCTCATCAACAGGATGCTTCATGTCAATTAGTGTGAGCATCAACGCCAGGGAGTGAGTAGTTCACGTTGAAGAAAAGATGTAGAGCCAGCTTCAACTGTCCCTACTATGAAGATTTTCACCGAAGGAATGATAGGCTAATCTTTTTCTAGAGAAACAAATTAGTTAAGATCAATGTTGAGATGAAGACAGAAGATCCTGAGATATAGAAGGTGAGAGCGAAGAACATACATTGGTAATGATAGTAGAAAAATGTATAGTGTATACTCCTTTGGTAAGATAAAATTTAAAAAGGGTTTTTGAAGCAAAAAAATTCATAGTAAACTAAAATTTTAGCAGCTTATGTTCAAAAGTTTTAAGGTAGCAAAGCATAATGTAAATTCATAAAGTAGCATTGTCTAACATAATAAAAATCAAATCATATAAATGTTGTTGTTGTCCCTGAGTGCAGTGAGCACAATTTTTTTCTTAGAGTCAAAACCTTTCATTCATTGCAATCAAAGAGAACCTTGTAACTAACATCACAAAGTTGACTGATGGAGATAAGGTTTCCTTTTAGACCCTTGGTATATAACACACTCTTCAGTTTGAACGCCCTGCACTCAAATGCTCCAACTCCCATGACAACTCCTTCACTATTGTCACCAAAACCCAACATCGGACCATCTTTCTCCACAAAACATGATAAGAGAGATTTGAGACCATTCATGTGTCAAGAGAATCCATTATCAAGGAACCAAGTGTGTTCGGGATTCTAAATTGACTCTTGGACAGCTTGAGAGATATCAACATCACACATGTTGAGATCACCATCAAGGGAATCATTTACAATAGCCATAAGACCCTTAACATTTAGCCCCTCATTTCTAGATGTTTCCTCATCTTCCACCCATTCTTCATGATCCTCTTGTTTTGTAATGAAAGCTTTTGGTAAAGAGATGTTCTCCTTCATCATGTGGATCGGCAACTTCTTGTACAAGACTTCATAATTCTCTAGGCTTTGAGCTTATTTCTTCTCTTTGCAGTCCCTAGAAAAATGATCAGGGCTTCCACAATTAAAAAAAATTACATGACTTTATTTTCTCTAAAGTATTTCTCCTTGCTGAACTTCCTCCCTTAAATTAAGCTCTTCAAACTCCATTTGATATGCTTTCTTCGTAATGTTTGACAATAACTGCAGCACTGATGAGCTTCATTGCTTCCTTTAGATAAGCCAAAGCTATAGACTTTTCCTTGCTTGAGTCCTTCATGATGTCTTTACTGAAGAGCTTTAGTCTCTTAGTAATTTCTTAGATTTCTAAACAAGGAGTTAAGATCCATGGTATTGGTCTTCTCACTATTCTTAAGGATATCAACATGATGTTCCTAACTTTTCCCAAAAGAGTTCAGGAAGTTCAAAACCAACTGAGAAGAATGCTTGACAATTCTCAGCCTGCACATATCATTTATCAAATAGTTAAACATGTTAAAAGTTTGGGTTAGAGATTCACCTTTTTGAGTGAATAAATGATCGTATCTCCGATTAAGGTTGTTGATGGTTGTGACTTGAACTTCCACAGTGGCTTCATAAGCCACAGCCAGTGTCTCCATCATCTTTTGTGCTGACTCACAATTTTGTACTAGATGATATACGTTATAGGGAAGACAGTTTCCTATGGTTGTTCTAGCTTTCACATCAAGACTAATCGGTTTCTTGTTATCATCATCATAACTAGTATCTGGCTTTTCCTTCAAGGGACCAATAGGAGCGTTGTTAACCATAGGTTGATACATAGGAACGTAATGACCCTTCTCAACAATTTTAAGCATCTCATAGTCCATGCTTTAAAGAACAACCATAGCCTTAGTTTTCCATATGACGAAATTGTGCTCATCAAAAGGAGAAATTTTGTTGAGACTAAAAGATTTGGGATTATAGGATGTCGACATGATAACTTGACTGTATCAAAAACCAGCTCTAATACCAATTGAAGGTTTGTATCAATCGGATATGCTTCAAGTATAATTAACATAAAAGAAACTAACTAAACTAAATAATAAAGAAGACGAATTAATCAAAAAGATGTTTTTCACCAAGAAAGGGGTTGTTCTCACCAGGAGAACGATTGTCACAAAGATGGTCACCAAGACGATAACAAATACATTAAAATTAGGGTTTCACCCTAATGTTGAATATATAATAAACTATACTAGTATATCCCTTCAATCAAGGGATTTCATCTAATCTATAATAAAAGGTGATCCTTATCACCAAGATACCGGATCTGCTATCTATTCTATACATATCAATATAACTGCCTATTATACAAAGATTACTATCCTAATGTTGACGTTGATAAGGTCTTGAGGCGATGGCGCTGATGCTGATGTTGGCATTGGTCCTAACAGTCATCGTGTAGAGTGTTTGACTTATCATATCAAAAGGTGGGACCTTACAGATCTAAAGGAAGATGTCTATATTCTTGGGATAAGAATCTTAAGGGATAGAAAGAAAAGACTAATTTGACTTAGTCAAATTACATACTTGGATACGATACTAAAAGTTTTTAGTATGGAAAATTCCAAGAAAGAAGATCTACCCATTCAAAGTAATGCCAAGTTGAGTATGACTCAAAGCCGTAGTACAGATGAAGAGATAGTGGAAATGAGTCGAGTCTCATATGCTTCAGCAGTAGGATCAATCATGTACGTTATGACATGTACTTTCCCTGATGTGTCTTTCGCTCTAAGCATGGTTAGTCGATTTCAGGGAAATCCTAGCATAACTCTGTGGACAATAGTGAAGAACATTCTTAAGTATCTACGAAGTACAAAGGACATGGTTCTAGTATTCGGTGGCAGTGATACGTTAAGAGTAACTGGGTATAGTGATGCCAGCTTCCAGAAAAATTGAGACAAATTTTATTCTCAGTCAGGTTAGGTGTTTGTATTAATTGGAGGAGTAGTGACTTGGAAAAGTTCTGATCACAATACGGTGGTTGTATCTACTTGTGAATCAGAGTACATCGTAGCAAGCGAATCATCAAAGTAGGTGGCTTGGATAAAGCACTTTATCAAAGATCTCGTAGTAGTCCTGACCATTTAGGAGCCATTGGAACTCTACTGTGATAATGAAGGCATGGTTTATTTGACCAAAAGAACAAGGAAAATTCCCAATACAGCCGCCAAGATGGTGGCAGAAGGCGGCAGAAGATGGCAGCCACCACCTCATAGTGGTGGTGGTGGGTTATCCTTGATTTTCCGGCCAAGGATTGTTTATACAACATCACCCCATAAT